CTGACAATTTCCCATAACTATCACAATTTTACTGGCTTTCTATCTATGCGACAAGAGTCATTACAAATTAATCCAAGATAGTCGTTGTCTTTCCCATGGGAATGAAGCTTGCACTAATAGAGAAATTGACAATTCTCCCTTCAGAAAACAATGTAATACAATACATTATTTGGTAGATAAAAACCTTGGCTTTTTATTGGTTATAAATAACGTATTATTAAACGTAAGAGAGAACTATTAACAACTGAAAGAGAGGATGTGACAGGTGGGTGTGGCAAGAGGGGTCTGATTTTCTATTTGATAGCCCTGTAACCAAACAGGGTTGAAGGCTATAAAAATTATTGTTTGTCTGAGCAATGATGATTTTATAGTGAGTAATTTATGTTAAATTTCCTATTTATTGGAGTGGTGGTGAATAAAATAGAGAAGATGGAATGCCTAGAGAAAATGTTACATTTCTCACCCTAGGGGAAATTCAGAATTTTGTTTAATATTGCCTTATAAAATTAAGAACTTAAAGCTTATATACAATCAACATATGGTTTATTAACTATAAATTTATGCTATACTAATTGGTATGACATAAACAAAAAAATAGTTTAATTACATTTTGGATGTAAGTCACAATACCTCGTGACATGCGCAGTAAATGATGCCCGGCCAGAGAGGGTTAATGTGTTTCACAGCATTTTATAGAAAGTATAATGCAATAGTATTCAAAACATTAAAAATGCAATCGTTTATGCATGTAATTCAGCTAATGATAGGCCGTTTGTAGATAAGATTTCTGTTGCTTAATGAATAATATGAAAATAAAAATAATTTACCTCATATTATAAGTAATATGTTATCTAAGTACATTTTGCTGTGTTAGTATCATACTTAAATGAATAAAGCAGTATATCTTCTAAAGAAATATTTCTCTACAATTATTATAAAAAAATTTATTTCCTACCACTGGATCAGTGGCAAATTTACAGACTTATAATGCTGAAATTTGGAGTTTGATTCTCTGTGATGGACAGAGTGTGGCGTGCTAAAACAATAAAAAATGTATTTAACTAGCATCTCCAAGTTGTTGTCATCTTTCACATATGTCACCTTAGTATGCCACAGTCTTGTTGTACATTTGTTTTTCCATATAATGATTTTGATTTCAACAATTTAAAAAAACAGCTAAGATTGTGAATTGCAGATAATACTTAGATGAGTTCTAACTTATTAGACAAGTACCGTTAAGACTGAAAAATTTCGTTATTGTTTAGATGTGTACTTCCTCACTTTATATTTCTGAATTTTTTAACAGTATTCAAATAATTGATGTTATTGAGGCTACATACAATCAACGATAAAAGTGACATTGACCCGACTCAAGTTACACAAGTCAAATTAATAACAGGATTAGGCTATGAGAATCAAAGTTACCCTGTTAAATAAACAGTTAAATTCGCTTTAAATTAGAACAAGTGAAAAATTGTTTAGTTCTGTTACTTTTATTATAATGCTTATTTGTGAGTGAGTAGGGTTTGTTATAAAAGCTTCAACGCATGTTTGGATAAAAATGTACGAGGAACTCCACATTACCACACACCAAAATGCAATAATTATAACAAGGTGAACAAAAAAGTATATTATTCTTAAAGCCTTTCTTGGAAGAATATACTTAAGCTTCAACAGTGGACCAGCATACATGCAGTTTTACATCTTATCATTAGAACATCAGTATATGCATCAGATTTGAGTGTACTTAAGACTTGCCCTTTAATTTAGGAAACTTAAAACTTTGTGGTAACTTTTACTACATTACAAAATTGTAGTTTTTATGATATAAATTGTTACAGACTAGATTAAATCTATGAAATCCTTAAATCCCTGATATATTTTTGATAATTTAATCTAACTAGTCAAATATTTTATACACTGTAGTCACTTTTGAGGTTGAGATTTATGATAATGTGTTCTTATTACATTATCCTTTTTTATTAGTGAACATGCTTAATAAAGATACTTTTATAATGGCTTTTCTAGTTTGCCAAGTAATTATACTTGCATTGCACACAAGTAAAAGATATGAGTTAATTTTGGACATTTTAAAAATAATTTAATTTACAATTACAGTACTGTGCAAAAGTGTTAGGACAAAGTCAAAAGTTAGATTTCAGGCTACTTTCAAAGAACAATGGAAGGTAAATCACAGGTTAAACATCAAAATTTTATTAATCTTCATATTTATTACAACAGAAACTCAGTGGAAGTGCTTGAGTTCAGCAAACAGTTAATATTTTGTCCCCCTTTTGCTTTAACTCTCTCTATACAGGCTTTGTCAATTTGACCGATCACTATTTTGTACTTGTTTAAAGTCTTAACAGATTTAATACTTATAACTCTCAATATAATATGTATATCTTCATGAAATTTGGCAGTCTTTTAAGTTAACATTACAAGTCTTTCGCATTCAAAAAATCATATTTTAGTGAAGTATTTTTAGTAAAATAAAATAAAGATTTGTCCATGAATATATTGAGTATTTGTTTTGAAAGTCTGTGTGCAAAGTGATTTTCATGTTAAAATAAAAAATACTTTTCCTCATCTTAAAAATATCAGATTTCCTCTCTGCACACCCTAAAACCTTTTAAATGCATTTCAAACGTTGTTTTTTCAGTAAAACTTTGTAGTTTGTCTGTTATTTTTTTACCCTATCTCAAAATGGGACTGGTGAATTCGACCAACCTCGTAACCACCAAACAAAAAAAAAAAGAAAGAAATCTAAATTACCATTTTTTTTTCTTTCTAGAATGACTTCAAATTGTAACATGAAACATATTCATTTATCCTAAGTAGTTCTAAGTTTGTAACAGTATTCATCTATGTATAATTAAATTTTATTGTTTTATTGCCCTTTGAACGTGTCTAACTACTATCCATGCCATTATATGTTGTAAATCACCCGGGGAACGTGCAGGTCACATTACGCTTTCGCATTACATTACCCATGAGCTGCTCATATACGTGACTTGTGAACCATTTTACCTCTTTTAGCATGGGCTCGGTCCCTAGGACCAAACCACTTAACCATTTTGTGCTTGTTATAGTTTTTATGCTATAACTTTTAAATTAGTAAGCGATTGTTAACAAAATTTGGCAGATTATCAGTAAACATTACAATGCTTTCATATGCGAAATATCAAATTTTCTCATTAAGTCTCAAGGTTTGTAAAGCAATGTTTTTCTCATGCCTCTTTTTCTTTTCACATGTTTCCTATCTATTATGCAAAGTAATTTTCATTTTGAGATTAAAAATACTTTTATGCATCAGAAGATTTTCAACTTTCACATGCAAAATCTTTATAATATCCAGATATTTTTCAAATGTTTTATAAAAAACAAAAACTTTATATTTTATCTTTTATTTTCAGTAATTAATTACTGTACGGGTTCGGTAGATTTGACTGATCTCACAACCACTTTAAAAAATTAGGAAATAAATATAAATTATGCCTCTTTCATTCTAGAATGAACACAGATTATAACATGAAAACATAAATGTTTAGACTAAATAGCTTAAATCCCATAACATTATACATTTATATATGTTTATTATTATTATTATATTGACTTTCAGCCGTGGCTGTCTAACAGTACAGAAGTACTCATGTTACTGTATCAAATAACATAAAACTGACTTTTTTTCTTGTACAAAGTAACTTGTCTTGGCTGTGATTTAGTAGACTAGTATTTTATAAAATACTAGTCACATTTCTAATTATTTATACATTATATATGTATATAGATTATTTTTATTTT